GAATGCTGTAGAAATACGGTCATTAAAGAGTATGTTAGGGCTGAATTTGACTGAGAGAGTGAGAAATTGTGTAATAAGAGATAAGTGAAGAATAAGATGATATTGTGACTAGGATTAAGAAAGGAATGCTTCAGTAGTTTGGTTGTATATAAAGAATGAAAGAGGAAAGAGTGACAAAGCAAATTTATGTTACAGATGTCAACGCCAGAGTCATGAAGTTACTCCCTAGCGAAAGTATATCGACCAAATTGGCGATACATTTACAAATGGGCCAGATTAGGAGTACCCTTAACCAACGAGGGTGTATGTGTAGGTATACGGATGTAAAGGAGATGAGAGAGGTGTGTCAGGATCGTGCCAAATGGAAGTCCGTGGTAACTGTCTACCCCTCTGGGTGACTAATGGAATTGATAAAAAGAGTCCTCTCGAAGGATTTTGTTGATACATAGAGTAAGCATTGAGTAACGAGCACACAGTCCACTTGATGGTAAGTGGATGCTTTAGCCCAAAGACATCTACGTCTATTCTCGATTAAAAATCAAAACGTAGATATGATATGAGAGCGTAGTTTTTCCCCGGTCAAGTCGAAATATTCGTATTACAACCATAATATGCTCGTAGATGCAACATGCATGGCCACGCATAAAAAAAGGATTGGGCGAAAGGTGAGAAACCGCCGGCATTATATATTTATTAAATATTGTTTGGGTGAATTGATAAATATAAAATTTTTGATTTAAATGTCTATTTCATCTATAATCAATGAATGCATAGATGAACAAAATATTTTCTCTTGTTGTAACCACACTTTGGCGGTAAGATTTACCCTATGCGATTGCTCACCTTCTCGCCCGTAGAAAAACACGTAACTTGGAGATTTTGGCAAAGGAGACGAGAGCGCTAAAGACCTACAGCGTAAGATATTTTTCGCCTTTAGAAAATATCCTATAAACTAATTCACCTTAAAGGCACAGTTACGAAAAATGTCAGGTGCCACGTACTGTTTATCTAAGTGGAAATCTCTTTAACTTGGAAATCAAATTCCCAAGTTCCAATTACGTTTTCCGCTTTTCTCAGCGCTTTCGTTTTTGAACGGCGTTCACACAACAAACACAATTAGTGGTTAGGCGACAGAACCCTACTTCCCCAGTAAACTATCATCGACTTCTCACTGCCAGCAAAACAGCTGCCGGAGCGTGTTGAAATAAAACAATGGCTAGTTTTTACGGAAGCCATTGCTCAAGCGTTTCGTGTGACCTTTGTGCGGTGGTCTAAGTTAAAGAAGAATCGCGTACAGCAAAAAGTTGGAAACATTTATCAGCATCTGTCTTACCATTCGATTACAACGTGGATGTACTCAAGGTAGGAGTGGATAGGCTTTTGTTAAGTCGCGCTTTACCAGCGTCGGTTTGGTCACATATTACTATCAGGTGGTAGCAGTCAACCAAGGGCTTATAATAGTCATTAAAGAAGATTCGCGGTTATTGTTTTAAAATATTTTTCATACAGCTAAGGCAATGCTCTGATATCCTATCGGATGTGATGACCTTTCTATTTCCGGTAGATTTCTTGCTACTTTCCCAGAACTAGGTTTCTTTTACGAACCAGTGGTAAAACAAAATAAAAATTTCTAAGAGTATTATGTTAAGTTATTCTACACTACTCTATTATACACACTCAAAGCCTTTTCGTAAATCCTTCAAATTCTAGCTCAAGCAAATATTTTTAAAAGGTTGTCTGGAAAAATTAGTTTCCAGAGCAATAAGACTTGGGTTTAATATTTAATATGTCTGTGTTGGTGTACAACAAAAAATATATTAATTGGTTGATTAAGTAAATGGTATGGTTGATTAATATTTATGTTTTTGGATATATACTCCCCCGGCTTTTCTTATGGCTAATGTTTGTTACTTTTGCTTTGTGTTAATTTTTTATATTGCCTATAAATATATTTAAACATCATTATCACAATATATAAGCATCAATAAAAAAAAAACGTGACTTTTGTATATTAGAAATATAATACTTCTTCATCAAATATTAATACCATTAAAATCATCAGATTGACAATTTCCTCGCGAACCGCCTATGCCTTGAGTGTTTTTATTATTAAATCAACAATGATTGCGAGTTGCGGTTTAGCCTTAATTTTGGTCTACAATTTAGATTAGTAAGATGAATGTGGGTCGCGGATTGTTTGTTAGACGAAAGTGCATTAAAACAATACGTAGATACGATATACTGCTTTTTAGATTGCGATAAAATTTAGAATTTTACGAGCATGAGAAAAGTCTTTATCAAGATGGCTGCTATAAATTTGACCTGGACTTTGCAGCTCTCACTTCACGCACCCACGCTACAAACTTTGGTTGGGTTAATATGAACTTCATTGCTGAAGCCCGGTAAGTAATGGCAAAGTCCGTATTCCAAAAGGTGCATAGAAATCCATATTATTGTACAAGAAAATTAATCAAGATTTTTTAAATGTTCAATTGACAGTGTAGTGACAGAGATAAATAAACCAGAAAATGATTAGCAGTGTCTTACTAATAATAAAGAGAACATTTAGGTACTGTACGAGGTAGAGCCAGGCTACAGCTATAGGTTGTACATGAATGGGTCGGCTCGATCGGGGCAGAACCACGCTCTCACAGAATACCAGCGTAAAATAGCAATTTAATACTGCTGTGTTTCGTATGGTGAGTGTAGAGATCCGGAGACCGTTTTTTAATAGAAACGAGGCATTCCATCGTAGTTCTTAGGGGTGACAACGCATCTGCATTTTGATTATTAATCGAGGATAAAAGTAGATGTCTATGGATCACAGTATCCTTTTGCCATCAGCTGGGTTGTGAGCTCGTTTGTCACCCATATTTTATAAAAGAATGCGATAACCAACTCGCGTACAAAGCGTTACGACTATGACAAATATCTCCCTTATAGACAATCTATGAAGAGGCTTTTGTTCAGCTATGGACTAAGGTATAATAAACTAATGAATGAATGAAATATATTTATTGTAATTTTATGAGGAAATCAGAGAAATAGGCACGACCAGTGTGTTCTATAATCGAAATCGAATCTATGATGAGCTTAGGAGAAATATATATATATATATATATATATATATATATATATATATATATAAATAGTTCTGAATAGGGTTTGTATAATATGTGAACGGAATAGAAGCCTATGGCACTGCTATTTTACAATTTTTTTTCTTTTACGTTAACAAATTATGAAATTGTTCTATCAATAAATACTACTAATTGGGTGCGTAATATTTTAATTTCTATAGTTTTTAATTCATCTATTTATTTCGTTCAATATTTTTGTTTTTATTTTTTAGTACCGAGAGATTATTTTAAATTAGTAGTATTTGATAGATCAGTTTCATTAAAAAAATTGTAAAATATCAGTTGCATAGGCTTCTATTCCGTTCACCTGGAACACTATTTTGTTTTCCAGATACTAAAAAAATATCATTCAGTATATTATACTAACTTTATAATGTTACAAAATGCTCTTGGTTCTATAGACAATAGATAAATTTAAAAAAAAATAAGTAGCATACTTCACGGTAGATGGATGAACAAAAAAATGTGAACCACGCAACAAATTAAAACTGACAGTAATAAGTAACCCAAATACGAGTTAATATAGTATTCACAAAATAATATTTCCGACACCTAGTTAAAATATTGTAATAATAGTGGTAGTATAATATTTCCGTTATTGTTGAAGATTTACTGTAATCTCGCAAATTTGAAGAATGTCCCGTTGCAGTTCAGGATGCTACTCACCATCGTTGTTTCATCTTCAGTCTGGGAATTGTACATCGTTATTATATGAAATACATGGTAGAGCCACGCTGCAGCGATATTATGATAGTAGCATAAAATTCGGCTCAACCGGAGAAGTTGTTTAGTGCTGATGATGGCATAGATCGTATGATGAGTATAGAGAACCGCAGACACTTTTTACCATAGACTTAGTATAAGCTTTTTACTGATATCGAGGCATTCCGTTGTGGGACATCTTCATTTTGGTTATTAATCAATAAAATGTTTTTACTTGTTTTTTGTTGCACGCTCATTTTCCCCCTCTTATAGAGAGGGAAAATGAGCGTGCGGCTCATCTGAGTGACTACCGGCGCCCATGATCAACTTGAACACCAGACGAATTGCAGTTGTATTGCTAGCCTTTAAAAAAAGAGTAGACTGGGATAGATGTAGATAGGGATAGTCCACAGTATCCACTTACCATTAGGTGGACTGTGTGCTCGTTTATTATTCCTATTGTAGAAAAAAAGTTATAACACTCTCGATAGTAGGTACTAATTTCTTCAAACTTAAGTTGATGCTTACGTTACCCACGAAAGAAGATAGTTTGATGGATTATTTTACACCCTCGTCATGATAGGAAACTCCAGATTTTTAGATTTAAATAATTTCATTAAGAATAGTTATATTATGTGTTTCTCACATATAAAACACAGGATGAGATTAAAAACGTGTTGAAAATGAAACAATGCCTGGCTCAATACGGGATACTAATGTACGGTAGAGGTACCTACGCAATCTAAACGACTTCCTCGAACGTAGACTAGATCTCTGCGGTTAATCTCACGGCGTTTCATGGAAAGCAAAACGCTATGTGAATAGTGTTACTTGAATAAAAATGATGTAAGATGAGATACAAAGATGAGGTTTTAATCGTTTTTTTTTCTAATAAAGGCTTTAAATCTTTATTAAATATGTAATTCTTCTGTCCGTGTGTGTGTGACAGAACTCCTACTAAACGGCCAGATCGATTTTAATGACATTATATTTTTATTTGTGATTAAGTTGATTGGAGATTAGTTTAGATTCACAATAGGACCCGGTAGGTGGCGCTGTTGTCGAGATCCAGAAATCACCAATTTTTTGATAAAAAGCTACAGAGAATGGGCCTATTCTCAATTTTTTACTATTATAGGCTAGTGTTTGACTACTAACCTTAATTACTTTCATTACTTTCAAGTAATGAGCTAATGATGCAGAGTTAACTAAACTGGCATTACCCATGGTCGTCACTTATGATCCTCACGGCATATAAAAGAAAAAAAATAAGATGGGGTTTAGGATAATTCATCACCTTATTTTTTCTTTCACACGGCACATAGGAGTCAGATAAGACACAGAAAGACAGGTGTAACAGAAAAAAAAATCTGCATTATCTCGAGATTTGCCAGAAATAAAAAAAACTATTTTTAGAACTTGGTAGAGCCATTGAATAAGAATTTTTAAGGATTTTGTCGTTCTTCTTGTCTGAGCTTTGTGTGTTCCACGATGATGATTGTACAAATTATTACCTAAAGCGTTTTTTACCTAAGTTATCGATTATGATAAGTAGACAAATAGGCAATTGCGAAGTATAAACTATAATTGCCTTATAATCTTCGTTATAAAACAATAATCTAATAATATTCCCTTCATTATTCTCAAACAAGACATTTATTTACAATTACCGTTAATATATCCTATTGTTATATCGACCGTGAAAACTTCTTTTTACGACGTCCAAGGACAGCGAAAAAATTCTATCAAACTGTCGTTTTTAGGACCAATACGACTTGGACCTTTAAGGGGAAATATAACCTCAAATGGCTTAGCAAGATCCTCCGTTATGCCGAAAGTATTGCAGCATTAATTTTGAAATAAATATATGGTAAAGTTGAGGATTAATGTTAAGGTTTATGTTAGACGAAAACACAAAAATTTTCTCGATAGAAAAAAAATTCAAAGTTACCTCCAAACTGAACAATAAACCGCTGTTATTCATAAAATACTTTAAATAAGATCATGAAACTTTGCATACTAACTGAACTAACCATAAAGCAGTGCTTATGTTATTTACTTTTTTTAAAATATCATTATTTTCATTGTAAAAAAGAAATTACCTAAACTATCGGCGCGTAAGCTTGGTTCCTGCGGGGCGACAGGAGAATTTCTATCGAGAAAATGTTACGGAATCGTGTTTTCGTCTAACATAAACCTTAACATTAATCCTCAACTTTACCATATATTTATTTCAAAATTAATGCTGCAATACTTTCGGCATAACGGAGGATCTTGCTAAGCCATTTGAGGTTATATTTCTCCTTAAGAAAAGAGCCTACTCCTTTTTAAAAGGCCGGTAACGCATCTGCAATTCCCCTGGTGTTGCGGTTGTTCATGGGCGACGGTAAACATTTACCATCAGGTAAGCCGTACGCTCGTTTGTGCCCTCGCCTATATATAAACAAAATATATTGTACGTCATTTTAGTCAAATTACTGCAAGTTACCGTAGCGAGCGTTAACCATCTGAGCCGTAGTTGCTCAGATGGTTAACGCTCGCTGTAAATATAACAGAACGCGAGTAACCCGGGTTCAATCTCCGCCGGCACCAATGAAATTGTTAATTGGAATTTTAGGTGCTAATATAGGTACCACGTGCTGGGCGGTGAAGGAAAACATCGTGAGGAAACCTGCATGTCTGAGGAATAAGAAAAAAAATATTTCGAAGAGATGTGAAGTTTGCCAACACGCTTTGTGGCAGCGCGGCGGACACTTCCTTGCCCTAAAACCCTCTTAGAAATTAGGGGAGGCTTGTGCCCAGCTGTGGGACGTATATAGGCTGTAACTTTACTTTAATTTTTACCACCCGCTCGTTAACAGCAAGAGTAAGCTGTCGCTAAGAGGCTCGACAGCTTACTCCGGCTGCTGTACAAAACCTGCATTAGACCAGTTATGTCCTATGCAAGTGTAGCTTTCGCCCACACATATAAATCCGATATTTTAAAACTCCAAAGAGTACAAAACTTTTTCATCCGAAAAGCTACCGGTGCACGGTGGTATCAAGGGAACTCTGATTTACACAATGATTGTGAATTACCATCTATCTCCGAATATTTTAAGGAGATGTCCTAGCGCTGCTTTGATAGAGTAGAAACCCACCCTAACCCGCTAGTGACAAACGCAGCTATATATTCCGATAGCAAACGTCGCGCCCTATCTCCGTAGACCGTGAAATGTGTTAATAGAATCACCTCAACCGCTCGATCCAGTCGACCCAAGCGTCGCAGGCACATCACACAACGACACTACACCCACACTAAATGGGACAAACACTATTAGGACAACGAATGGGACGCGTCGCACCCGCAGACGGGCACGACGCGTTCAAGCTCACATCGCGTACACACCGTACACCCGCGTTCTTGGACGGTTCTCACTGCCCAGACCATCGACCCACACGAGCTGAGCAGTCAGAGACGGGGATCTGCACTCTCCCCTCGGACTGCGTTTAGAGAGCTCAAAGAAAAACGCCTAAAAAGGCGACATGATGATTGGTAACAATATCAAATCATAAACCATTTCATCATCATCCTCACCTCATTGCCTTCCCTTCTTTAATTATCTCGCGGCCTGCAAGGCCCTGGCCAAGGCCCTGAGACAGATGAAGCTGTAAGAGTCGCATAGACTAACAGCACTAACATCTAGATAATAGTAGTAACTTTTACCCTAGTAATTAATCTTCTGACCGTGTAGTGGAAAGAATATCAACTACCCCATATTGTCCACTCGATGTTGTTAAAATAAGACTGTGTCTTTCTAACGAAAACTAGAAAATGAAAATGCATTTGCCAGCCCGCTCGCCGAGCGGGGCAACCACGGCAAAAATATCTCTTTTAAGAAAGTTAAGTAAGTAGGTAAGTTAAGTTTTAATGTATGGAATTGTATGTGTTCATTTATATAAGCTTTGTATACCTCCATGTACGAAAAGGCAGACTTTTTGTCACCAGGAATCAATTACAATTCTAACTCCAGGGTAATTGCTATCATAAATATTTGATTTTCGTCATTAGATTTTATTGGACTGACAAACGAGTAAGAAGTTCACCTGATTGTAAAGTAGCTGCTGCAGCAAATTAATATATGGTATGATGGAATTGGCATGTCGTCTCGATAAAAATCCCAAAAAAAATTCAATCAAAGAACGCCACAGATGCTTGTCACCCGGCAGTACTAAGATGAAATGTCTTACAACACTACATACTGCTTAGCTTAGAGGAGGCTTTAAACAATTAGTGCCGGATAAGCCTATAAGCAAATTGCTTATTAAGGCATCCCGTTTAAGGGCATCGAAAAAACATTATCGGATGGTAACGAAATATAAACTTACAAAAACCCGATTTCAAAAACTAAAAATAAGTGATTTCTTTTAAAACCGGTGCTAGTGAATCGAAGAATTGTTGCCTGGTACTGCTTACCAACTAGTGCTATGGGCGCGGATTGACACTATAATTATGGTCGTCTTGTAGTACGATGTGTAGGAATGAAAACGTACGTCCTTCACGCAATTGTCGAGTAAATTGATACTAAATTATTTAATAGATTTTTTTCTTATTATTACTATTGCAATTTTCGAAAGAGCAACATACATCTAAATAAAGTTCTAAGCTATCTCAGCGGGCGCAGGTCGCGGCGCATCCGAGCGCTTGTCCTTTTTTTTTCATTACGTAAATATATAATAATTTATAAAATGTGTTTGAGAACACATTTTATATACACCCACGGTAGCTAACTGTGAAGGATGGTGGTGAGAATCACCGTTTAAATATCTATCTGTATGGGTCTTTTTTCTATACACAGTATGGCTCAAGGTGTCTACCGTGGGTAAATCTTTGTTTCAGAGAGCACGAGGGATCTGTGACAGTAAACACCTGGCTGCCGAGCTCCACCATGTCAAGCAAGTTTTGCATGACAACAAGCTTCGAGTCCCGCGCCTACATCACAGTGAACAAGTGAAGCAGGCCACAGTCGAGCGTGTACCTGCTGTACTGCCATATGTTAGAGGAGTCACTGACAAGATTGGCTACATCTTGAAGCGCGCTTCCATCAAAACATACTTCAAGCCGCTGAAGAAGATTGGTCAGTTTTTACCATCAGTCAAGTGTAATGTCCCTCTGCAAGATGCAGGATTGTACAAGCTTGATTGTGAATGTGGTCTCTCCTACATAGGACAAACTAAAAGATCAATAAAAACCCGCGTTAAAGAACATATAGCTGATGTGAAGAATCGACGCTCCGGGAAGTCTGTAGTCTGTGAACACGTACAGGATCGCCCCCGTCACTACATCAGATTTGATAGACCGCAAATCCTCGCTAAAGAACACCGATTCCTTCCAAGGATGATTCGCGAGGCTATTGAAATCAAAAAAACATCCTAATTTCAATAGAGAAGATGGCTGGGTGCTACCATCTGCTTGGGATCCTATAATAAATAAAATTAAATCCCAACCCAAGCATACAACTGCAAGACTTCAAGATACCATAAGTTCATACTGCATAGATCGGAACAAAAGTTAAATTTTAATCTATGGTAACTGTTCGCGACGGCCTAACAACCTTAAGAAACAAAATTGTTCGCGACGGCCTAAAGTGATAAAGAATATTGTTTTATGTATTAATAGTGAAATTACCAAGAAAACTGAGTGAAAATGTGTATTAATATAGTTATTTAGCATATTTATAACTCTCAATATGTTTGTATAGAATGTCGTTTTGATAACAAGTAATATAAACAACTTTTATTATATACCAAAAAATCGACCAATCACAGCGCGTCTTATCGTGGAACTCTCTAGAAGTTTTTAATTAACTGCGTAATAGTTCATACTAAAAATAATGAAAATAATTTTATGTCCTAAAAGAGTTATAAATATGACATTTAATTAGCATATGGCTTATAGATTAAAGAAGTATAGGAATATTTTTTTATAATTAAACGCATTTCGTAGTTATAGAAAAATTAAAGAATTAAAATGCCCAAATATTATGAAAATTTGGGACATTTCGTTTAATAACTTTTTTACAATGTTAATGTTTTTAGTAACCTTTATGATATACTAATAAAGTATCAGACTACCGATTTAAATATGTATAGCATGTTAGTGTAGCAATTAGTTTTGTATAGAAAATATTCCGCAATTTATGCCATCTGTATAGTGATAAGTTTATGCAATAAAGAGGCAAAACGGA